CTGTTCTCCAAAGTGGCTGTACCAACTTGCATTCCCACCAACAGTGTAAGAGGGTTCCCCTTTCTCCACATCCTCCCCAACACATGTTGTTTCCTTATACCATATACCAGTTAGAATGGCCATTTGTATGTCTTCATTGGAGAAGTATTTTAATTATGAAAACAGTTTGAACCATATCTTCTCCTCCGACAGGCCCTGAAAAGGGAGATCTGCAAACTTCATGCAGACTTCCTACCAGGCAATGCCTGGTTATCACGCTGTGCTGGGCTCTGCAGGTGACACAGAGAAGTCAGTGGGACCCTGCCCTGGGGAGCAAGTTCATGGGCCACAAGGCTCAAGGGAGAGCTCCTGTGAGAGCCCAGGGCCAGGTGACACAGATGAGTGGCCCTGTGGATGGTCTCTGGGGGACTCCTGCCTGTTTTGTAGAATCGAGCCCCTTGTTCACACAGTCATCAGCAAACCAGCCCCCCTTGGGTTCCTATCTTCCATGCAGTTCCAGAACCGGCTGCAGAACCTGAAGGACAGAGCTTGCACGTGTCCTCGATGGTCCCACACATTTCCATGTTCAAGCGGCAAAAGAACGGGGCAATGTTCTGCGTGGGAGCATGTCTTCCCAAAGCCATAACCCCCAGGACCTCAGAATTTGTGACTGTGTTTGGAGATCAGGTCTTGAGATGGGTGATAAAGTTAATGTGATATCACAGGTTGAGCCCTAATGAGCGGGGTCCTTATAGGAAGAGGACATCAGGATGCAGACACACAGCGGACAACCATCTGCACACCCCAGAGAACCAGCCCTGCCCACACTGTGACTGTGGACTCCCAGCCTCCAGGACCAGAACAGAATCAGTCTCTGTTGTTTAACAGAGTCTGCGTATGGGCCAGCGAGGACAGGCAGCATATCACAGACTTGGAAGTGACAGAGGTGTCGATTTCCAGCTCCACCTCTTACCAGCTATGTCTCAAGTCTGCTCCAAGCCTTTGTGTTCCTGTCTGTATAATGGAGATAATTAGTACCTCCCTCCAACGTTGTCTGAGTGGTAAATGAGATGGTCCATGGCAGGGGCCTGGCCAAGTGTGGATAAGGAACAGTGAGGACCGCAGCAGGGCATGCTCCCTGACCGTGCTCACCCCTGCTAACTCAGGCCCAGCTACAGCTGGGCTGAGGCCATCCTGGCACCAAAGCCCCCTTGCCCCTTGTAGGAGCAGGTGCTTGGCAGGTCACCAACCTTGGCTCAGGACACAGACCTCAATAAAGTCTGGCTTCCTTCCCCTGATGCTAGAAGAGACTAATTCAGGTCTGCCCCCCGCCTGACCCCTCTGCTCGGGCCACCACGGTTCTGAGACACACACGGGTGAAGGCCAAGTGCTCTCTGCTCTTGGCTTCCCCTCAGCCCACAGCTCCTCCCACTCAGCCCCATCACCAGGTGCTGGACAGGCCGCCCCTCCTCTGTCCCTCTCTCTCCTTGGGCTCCCACCCTCTCTAGATACACTTTTCTGCCTCAGCACCCATGACATTCTGCACCAGACGAACCTCCCCCAGGACAGTAGGGGCTGTCCTGTGCATTTTGGGGAGCCTAAAAGCATCCCGGCCTCCACCCACTGGGTGCCCGTAGCTCCCCTCCCCCACCTCCACCCTGGTTGGGACACCCAGAGATGTCTCTAGACATTGCTTCTGGTCCTCTGGGGACATTATCATCAGGCTCCACCCCGACTGAGAACCCCCGGGTCCCCCACCATGTTGCCTCCTTCCTCGGGGGACGTCCGCCCTCCCCAGGCCCCTGGCAAACAATGGCGGAGCGTCCTTAGGAGATCACATTCATAGAGAAGACCCAGGCCTACATTAGTTGCCTCTTTTCTAAATATCATTTCTGATACGTATTCTTTCTCCAGTCCTCCAGACCGCATGCACTGCGAGAAAGCCACCCTTAGCTCGTGTGACAAAAGGAAACTGAGCACAAGCCGTCTAACAATGTTCCGGGGAATGATGCTTTGCTTCTGATGCCGTTCCTGGCATGCTTCTGATTCTTGGAAACCCACTCTAGTTCTTTTATCTGTGCTTTCTACCTTTCTAACCTCCTTTAAAGCTCACGTGGTGTCTTCATGCTGTTCTTTAATTTGGCATCAGCCCAGGGCCAAGACCAAACACAATGCTGACCCACAAAATTAAAAGAGGATACTGATGCACTGGCACCGCTTGGATAATAACACGGAAAGACCGTGGATTCCTGCCTAAATGCCTTTAGTAGGAGCTGAGTACTCCCTAGAAATTGTAGCCGTTGCTTTGTTGGGGTCAGGGAAGTGCTCGGTGGAGGGGAGCAACCCCCGGGGAGCCCAGGTAGGCAAGGGCATGGGAAGGGCACTGGGGACTGTGGTGTAACCCCATGAAGAGTGATCTTCCACGGGAAATCCTTGATCTCCCTCATGCCCCCCTTTTGCTGGTGGAGGAAGAGCTCTCTATAGGATAAGCCCAAGGTCACACAGAAGGTCGGGACAGGGAAGGTGATCCCCAGCCTTGCCCGTGGGCACACCTGTCCTTACCACCACCGTGCTTCTTGGTGACTCCCTCCATGTCAGAAGTTGAATCCCCCAAACTTACACTTTTTCCTACACACGTGGCCACTGTAGGTGGTTCCACGTAACAGAACATAACGCAGAGGACTAAGTAATTTGCAACATCGAGCCCTGTACCCTACAGATGATGTAGCTTCACTTTACCCAAGTGGCAAAGTTTCCAGGGTCTCCCACCCACGTGGGACTTTACACCAAGCGTCTCGTGACTGGATCCAGGTTTCATGAGGCCAACTGCCAAAGTGAAGTGAGCCTTCTCAGTCCAAAACCAGGATACCCACCGGCCAGGTCACAAGCTGCGTGGGATGCGTGAGCAAGACCAGCTCCTGTTAGTGCCTACGAAATCTGGAACGGAATAAGCCAGAATCCGGGAAATCTCTGGTTTCTCTAGAATCTTCATTATCTTCAGGCTACATGGGGCTCGACCCTCCCTGCCCCTGTATCCTGGCCAACCCACGGCCCCCGCCCGCTGATGGAGGCCCGCACGCCCTGCCCTCCAGATGCTTCTCCGTGTGAGAGCTGCTCACCTCTCACGCTGAGTGAATCCCTCATCTTACATCTAAATTACTCCTTTGCTTGTCTTCTCTTCCCCATGGCAGGGTGGGCTCTCCAGAGTCAGAAGGAGTCATACTAACCGTTGTATCATAGAACACAGCACAAGACGTAACACTATAATATACATATTATTAATAACACTAATGGATAATATATAATCAATTAAGAAACTCGGGGCTTATTTATTCTTTTTTTTTTTTTAAGAGAAAAATTCCTTCACGTTTTTTTTTCTTTTCTTTTTTTTTTTTTTTTAAGTTTTACTTGTTTAAGTAATCTCAACACCTGACGTGGGGTCTGAACTCAGGACCCCGAGATCAAGGGTCACATGCTCTTCCAACTGAGCCAGCCAGGTACTCTCCTTGTTTTTGAAAATTAAAATTACAGGGATGCCTGAGTGGCTCAGTTGGTGAAGCATCTGCCTACAGCTCAGGTCATGATCTCAGGGTCCTGGGATCGAGTCCCGCATCAGGCTCCCTGCGCAGTGGGGAGTCTGCTTCTCCTTCTCTCTCTGCCCCTCCCCTTGCTTGTGTCCTCTCTGCCAAATAAATAAATAAAATCCTTTAAAAAAATAATAAAATTAAAATTGAAATTTACAAGAGCTGTGATATAGAGTCGTTTCCTATGAAGTTCTTCGAAGACCACTGAAAGCCTAACCAGGAAGGGAATCCGTTTGCCCCAGGCCTATTGGAGCGTCTCTCTGGAGAGACGAACTCCTGGTGCTTATCTAGATTAATACCATTTCACTGTGAGAGTGAGGATTTCCATAATCACCCCCACCAAGTAATATTTTCAAGACCAAAACAGAAGTTATTGGCGACATTCGGAGAGCAGGGGGTACCTGCAGCCCTGGAGCTGTCGCGGGGGGATGGAGCCATGGGTTGCCCTCCACTGTGACCCCACAGGATGGCCCTGGGGTGTGCAAAAGCCAGACAGACCAGGATGACCACCACGGCTCCCATGACCACACGCCAGCGCCGACTCCTGCACTTTCAAGTTAGTGCCACTTGGAGCTTGAACGTGGATCATTGGGGAAACTCGGGGTCTCCTCTCTTGGGTGGGAAAGTCGGATCAGATCACCCGCATGTCTGTCCTCTGTGAAGTCCCCGAAAGGAGCCTGCAGACTTCCTTACAAGCCACCACCAGGCACAAAAACAAAACACAAACCACAGCACATCCTTGGAAAAGAAAGGACCAATAGGAAGAATCCCACACCCGAGAGCGCATGGGTGCAGGGCACTACGTACGGTCCAGAGGGAAAACCAAGCAGAACCGCATGATGTCTGCTCCCAGGGAAGCTGGTTGTGTCTCTACCCGGGCTTCTCCTCCACAGAGTGAGACTGACAGAGCCTCACAAGCAAACTGGCCCAGGCCACGACCACGAACACATCGGGTCCGACTCGTCCTTAACCGCCAGATGCCCCACGCCAAACTGACTAGCTTCTGTCCCCCATGTTCTCCTCCCACCCCAGGGAACAGCCTGCCCTTCTGTCTAGTTGTCCTCCGAATAACACCTCCTGCCCCAGCGTGTCCTCTAGGACAGTGACCCGGGGGACAACGGGAGCCCGAAGAGGCCAAGGTGAACCATAATCCCCACACAAAACATTATGCAGTCCAATCTGTAGAACACTATGCTATCTTTAAAGATCTCTTCTTTCTTCTGTGCCCGTGTGCTCAATAAGATCTCACTCATTTGGACTCCACTATTTTTGTTTTATTTATTTTAGAGAGGGAGGGGGGAAAGAATCAAGCAGACTCCCTGCTGGATGTAGAGCCTGACGCGGGGCTCGACATCATGACCCTGAAATCATGACCTGAGTCGAAACCACGAGTCGGATGCTCAACCCACTGCACCACCCACGCGCCCCCAGACTCACCTTTTGAATGACCTCATTAATCTCTGGAGTGTTTGGTGTGTACAATATTTTTCCATGTAATATCGGTTTTAGGAAGGACCACACCAAAGCGCCATTTGGAGACTGCAAAATTTCTTGATAGAGGTCCAAGCAAAACGGTGCTGCCACAATTACAAGAAGAAAAAAAAATTACTCTCGAGACGGGATGCCCCGGCTAATAGTGACACTCGTCTACATATCCATGATGGCTCACTTTTTAATGGGTGATGTGGATACGTTTTTCATGCCACAATTGAATTTGGGCAGTAAATTCGAGAATAAGTGTTCTTGTTGCTATCCTTAGCACCTCTCACCTCATGAGAAATTTCGAGATAACATGTTCATTTCAGTAATTGCAAAGAAAGGGAAGCATGACCTTCACATATGCAAACTAAGCCATCAAGAAGAGCACTAACTGTGACAAAGACACCTGCCAATAGTAATAGAGAGAAATGCATCTGATCTCTAATGCAGAAAATCATCAACACTTACAGGATTGGGAGCCGAATTAGATTCTTCCCATGAAATTAGCTTTATATATTGCTACTGAATTTTCTTCCCTGCATCTACACGGCGGTGTTGACCTTACTGTTTTTAATATATTAAATCACCTTGTTTTCACCCAAACCCTTGTTCCTTCAAGGTGGGGGGATCAACATTGCTGGATGATAATTGGTTTCAATCAAAGGTTGACTCGACTGACCTAACTGAAGAGGTACCCAGTGAGGGTAGAGCCTCCACCACCATGAGGATTAGTAGTAACCAAACATTGTACGGTTTGTCTTTGTTTTTTTTTTTTTGTTTGTTTTTTAAGCAGCCCCATGCCTAGTGTGGAGCCCAACCCGGGGCTTACATTCACGACCCCGAGATCAAGACCAGAGCTGAGATCAAGAGTCAGACACTCAACTGACTGAGTCACCCAGAGCTCCAAAATATTGTAAGGTTTTAAGTTAGTGATAAATAGTTCAGCTTGTTCTTTTACCCCTGCAGCAGACATTTAAGGTGGAAATACCTTAGTTTTAATAGCATAATTCTTGACACCCAAGGTATGAATAGTGCAGTTGTGATTATCTCCATTATTAATTTCATCTTCCCAAATTCTCCATTTGAAAAGCAAAAAACAGTTCTTTTTATTCAACAAGTACAATAAAACTGTTAGAAAGAATCCCCTGAGATATAATTAAGAGCGTGACAGCATAATAAGTTTTTAAAACATACTTATAAAGATTGCTCTTACTGATATATTTTTTTTAAGATTTTTTATTTATTTATTTGACAGAGATCACAAGCAGGCAGAGAGGCAGGCAGAGAGAGAGGAGGAAGCAGGCTCCCCACCGAGCAGAGAGCCCGATGCGGGGCTCGATCCCAGGACCCTGAGACCACGACCCGAGCCAAAGGCAGCGGCTTAACCCACTGAGCCACCCAGGCGCCCCTGATATTTTTTAAAGTTACACTTTATAAGCATAATTTAAACAGTCATGATTTTCATTTCAGAAAAGACACAACCATATATAGGTACAGAGCAAGAAATCTGAAACCAGGAATCCTGACCTCTGCCACTTGAGAGCTGTGTGAACTTGCTTAAGTCACTTAACCTTCTCTGAGCCTCCAGTATGTCATGTGGAAAAGGAGGGTACTAATATTGTCTATGCTCAGAGTGACAATCATTTGAAATACAGTGTATGAAAGGAACAAGAAGGACTGGTCCTCCATGGTAGCTGAATGACTAGAGGGATGAATGGTTGAGTGAGTGGATAGATGGAGGACGGATGGAGGATGGAAGGATGGATGCATGGGTAGACGGATGGATGGAAGGATGGATGGATGGATCAATGGATGGGTGGGTGGGGATGGATATATGGATGGGTGGGGATGGATGGATGGATGGATCAATGGTTGGGTATATTGATAGATGGACAGATGAATGGATAAATCATTGGATGGGTGGAAGGAAGGACAGATGGGTGGATGGATAGATGGATCCATGGATGGGTCAGTTGATGGGTGGGTGGAGGAATGGATAGATGACTGGATGATCAAATTTGATGAGCAAATAAAAAATCCTCAAGAAACTCAAATGCAAGGGAAAAAAGAATGGGAATTAGAGAAGTAGACAACAAAAATTATCGAATATTAATAACATTAATGTGTTTATACTGCCAAATTGTGTTATATTTGGCAGCTATCCAAATTATCCATTAGCTGAGGAGCACACTGACACACGGTCTCTGACGTGGCTGTGAGGTCGTTGCTGCGTGGCTCTATCCTACAGCTCCAGCTCTGCAAACTGCCGCGCTCCTCCCTTCCCCAGTCCCACCAACACTCTATCCATCCTGGGCATGCCATACATAAACACAAATTTAAATACCTATTTTTTACATTAAATAAATATATATCAGTATATAATACATAATTTGTAACTGATAATATATTTTATATATTTATATATTTGGGGGCAGGTGGTAGGCAGAATGTTAATACAGCCTTCAGATGGACTTCACACCTTGACGTGCAGACGGGACCTGTGAATGACAGATGCCACCCCCCTCGGTAGGTTACACAGGCACCGTGAAGGAATTCTGAAGATGTTAATAAGGTCCCCAATCAGCTGACTTGGAATTCATCAAAGAGATTATCCCGGCTGAGCAATCAAGCAAACCTTGTAAAAAGACTGGAAGCCTGAGAGTCAGACACCCCGAAGCCCAGTGCACTTGGGACCCCTGGCTGACCTGGACCGGTGAGGGGTCCACACACGGAGACCAGCACCACCATTTTGGCCCCTGCAAACCCCCTACGCCCTACAACAAGGAGAAATGTATATGGTCTCCTCCAAATCTGTCTTCTATGGGGCTCAGTGGCAAAGGACCATGGATTGATAAGGGACCTCCTGGCCACTCTAGGTGGACACATTCTAATTAGGAAGGCAGACGGAACATGCTGGCAAGGGTTTGGGGTTTGGACAGGTCAGCGTTTCCCACCCCCAGCAAGTTATGCCTCTTTGGCCACGTGATTTCATCTCTGATCACAGCGGTCCCCTCCATGATGTGGAAAGAATACCGGTATCACTTCCCCGCCAACGCACGGAGAGGATGGGCCCGCGCACACGGGCGCTGGGGGCTTCCAAAGCCACCTGCTGGGGCAGTGTGTGGTGGCCTTAGGGAAAGCGAGGGGTAGAGCTAAGAGGACGGAGACAGTTCTTTGCCAGTGTGCGCCCACCTTCACACAGAATGTTCCGTGCAGACCAGGGTTAACAGTCAAGACAAAAACCAATCTCAGTGCGTGTGATAAATTACTGTCGTCTTACTTGAATCTTCAGGAATGTTGAATTTTTCTTTGTCCCCTCCCAGGAGCTCGTTGATTCTGGGCAAGTTAATGAACGAGTTAGAGCCACTGAAGAATGATGCTTGATCCTTGCAAACCTTCTTCATGACGATCTGGAAAGAACCGAAGGCTGAACTTCTGGACGGGCCACGCTGCGGAGCCTGAAAACATGAGGAAAAGAGCAGCATTTCAACACGTGGCAGAGACTTCTGAAAGGGAACCTGCTCTCCACCTCAACACCCAAGATGTTCCACAAGCCCAAGCACACGGTCTCTGCTTCGGACGTCTCTGACCTTGAAGCACTAAGTAGATCAGGCGGTGATTTTCCTGGCCTATAAACCTGTCACGGAGACAAATGTCACACACACACACACGCGCGTGCGCGTGCACCAGCAAATCCTCATCTGTCTGGTGATAAGTGATCGATCCGATCCATAAGATATCACTCGCTCCAACTAATTAACGGCTTCAAGTGCGTCCCTACTGCCAGGTTACCCAGATACTTGACAGCTGTCTACATCACACATCAGCTCGCTGGCAGAGCGCCGTCCTGCCCAAGGCCACCAAGCACCTTGCCATCCGCCCCCACCCTGACCTGGGCCTCTGCATGTCCCCGCGCATCTGCTCTCACCACAAAGCCCCTCCTGGTAGTCGGCGTCCGGGCAAAAGCTAGCATTGCACCGCTGACCGCATTCGAGTCTGTATTTGTGTGTGCAGCAAATTATCTGTACTTTGTAAGCCAATTATTTGTATGTAAGTAAAGGTTTGAAGGTTTGTGAGAGCAGTTCACTCTCGGAATTAAGTTAAACAGGCCCTTGGAATCTCGTTTGTGCTGATACTCGGTTTAGCGGTTTCTGACTTCACAGACCATCTGTGAGCTATCCCCACATACCGCGTGAGTGCGTGCAGCTCAAAGAAGTCCCCGTCCCTCGGTTCTTAGGGAGACACCTGGCCTTACTGCCATCCTGTTGCCACCAGACCAGAGAAGGTAGTCCTTTTCCTATATTTTGTTCCCACACTCAGACTTTAGACATGAGAAGAAAGAGAAATACAGACAAAAGCAGCAAGCACCAAGACACAGCAACCCTGAACTTTTCCCCAGGGGCCAAGAACAAACACACACCTGTTGGGAGTCGGGCATGTCCAGCAAGGTGGTGATCTTATACGCGTGGAGAAATTCGGGGAGGTGTTCCAGAACATGGCCGGCTTTGGTAAGCAAGTGGTTGAGCCTGGAGACCACATTCAACAGGGAGCTGAGTGTGTCGTGGGCTTCCGAGGGCATCAGAGTCTCCAAGGAAGAAACACAGCGCAAGAAATCACCATCGGACTTCCGACTCTCATGAGCATTGCTTGAGCCGTGAAAACCTGGTTATTTGATTTTCTTCTCTCTTGAGACAACTTCATGCCATATAAAAGTTCCCTGTATCAGAGCACCCCTCGCTCAGCATTCTGGCACACAGAGCACCCACACTGTTCAAACGTACACCAGGCATAGATATATTCTGTCGTTAAAAATTCAAATCATTTTCAAAATATTTCTCTTTATGTTGGAGGTGCCTAAAGTGGACACTTAAGAGGTCAAAACAGAACAATTCTTATATGGGAAATGATTTCCATTTACCCGCTGTGAACCATTTCCATTGACCCTTCTCATCCCTCTGGGCCATGCTAATGTTCATTTTGTGGACAAAGGGACAGGGGCTGGGAGATCCCAGGACATCCAGGAGTCTCACAGTCAGAAGGACGGGGCCGGGCATTTAACCTGGGACTTTAGAAACAGCAGTGCCCTTGAAACCCACATGTGCTGTGACCCTGACCTGCTAAGTGCTTTACTCATCGTTCACGTCTTGTCTGTTCTAGGCGGTAGATTCCTTGTGGGCGGGGATGCGTGCCTGTCCCATCCCTTAGGTACAGCAGCAGGACAGCATGGGCGGTATGATGGCTCAGAATCTGCTGGATACATGGACAAACGAGCAGACACTGCCTCTTCCCACAAGAAGGGAGGAGTCACGGCGAGCCTCCTCTCTCTGTGCTCATCTGTACACTGAATTTTCGGGCTTTTGGACTCAGGCTGAGGCCCTAACTGTCACAACTTCTTATTCCTGCTCCTTAGCGTCCTGTACCTGCCACTTAGCCGTGGGCTCTGTGGCTGACCTGCAGGCCCCGAGATCACAGCTCTCTCTTCCCGGCTGGGCTCTGCAAATAAGGATGCCACTGCACGATCAGTCAACATGCAGGCAGCGGACACGGGTGTGGGCTCTGTGTCTGTGTCTGCTCACCTTTCTCATGGAGCCCGCGCCCCAGGAGGGGTGCCCAGCGCACCACATGCATGGTGGGGATGACCGGGAAGGGACCACAGTGCTGACAGACAGAGGAACCCACAGACCCGCACGGCAAGCCGTGTTCTGCAAGCGGCTCTGGGATTCACCAGCAGGGCAACATAAAGTGGGTAGACCTGGGACCCCAGTGTCGATGCCACTCGCCCTGCAGTTTTGGGGCCGCTGCACCGTCTCCAGGAGTATGCTGTCCATTGACTTTCCTACAGCCGTGCTCCTGGAAGGCTCCCGATGCCTCATAGCAGGTGTGATGAGTGGTGGTGTCCTTCTGCTTCCATCTGGGAGACTGACCCCAACCCACATGTCGTCCTCATGCCCCTCCACAGAAGACTTGGAAGCACTAATTTCACTGGGGGCGGGGGTGGGGGTTCTGCGTGCATAACAGAATGGCACTAAAACCCTGGCTCGCTGTTGGGCTGCGACCGTGTCCCAGGGGATGCGTGGGGATTTGGGAGGGGGTACTGGATCTGAAAGTTAGCACTTGTGCTCAGAATGGGTACGTGTGTGTATAACCCAATACTTAACCATGGGAGGGAGACCACAGAGGAAAGAGGGTCGGGATGGCAAACCTCTCCTTTACCTGACCCCAAAGCTCTTCTCCCAGGTTGGAGGCCCCAGAGCGCCCTTGCCGGATTGGCAACACCTGTAGCATCTCTGATTAGCCCAGATGTCGACGAATCCACCCCAGGGAGTAACAGGGAACAAGACTGGTCCCTAAGGGTAAGAGCTAAGTCTCTGAGAGCATAACTAAGACCCGAACAGTGGAGGACAGATGAGGAACTTCTAGAAGAGGTAGAGCCCAGAGAGCGGTCAATGGGGGAGTAATCGGGGGTGTCCCCAGGTCAGCTGTGCTCACCGTCCACACGGGCGGTCAGTGGGGGTTAATCAGGGGTGTCCCAGGGCAGCCGCGCTCACTGTCCATGGTCAACTCTCTCTAGCACACATTGTCATCTTTGGATTTGTCAGACCCTTCTCACCCTCATCCCACTGCGTGCAGGAGTGTGTGGGGCAGGTAATGAGCTGGTTCCCAAAGTGACCAGAGCCTGGCCCGTGTTCCCTCCCACCAGCACACCTTCTCCTGGACAGGTCCTGGCAGAGGCGGACATGTAACCCTCACAAGACAGAGGCTGTGGGTCTCAGGACACAATGGGGCAGAGAAGCCACAGCCAAGGAGGGGTGGGAGCAGCTCCTGACTCCGAGGGGAGGGGTCATGGCCCGAGGAACCCAGCTTCCCCAGGGGTACCCCAGGAAGGGTTCTTAAGGAGGAGGGAACCCAGCCCTGAAATTAGGAGGGCTTTTCCTAGTGGGTTCTCCTGCGTTGACCACACTGGCAGCCAGCAATGCCGTGCCAAGTGTCCCCACAGGCCCGACCCCCGGGACCCCCGGAAGGTCTCCTCAGCACCCCCAGATTCCAAACCCCACCCCAGAGTCAGCACACATGAGACGGGGAAGTTGGCTAAGGCACCTGCCCACCCCTCCCCACCGCCCCTCTGCAGACGGCACACGGCCACAGTCAGGCCGCCCCCCACGGTCACCCCCTTACTTTGTAAATGACATTGCGCAGATTCAGGTTCTGACTCATGGACACGATCAGAGCATACATGTGGGGCCCGGGCAGGCTGCACAGTTCCTCCGCTGCAGCCCAGGACCCTCGGGCCTCGGGAAGCTTCAGCAGCGACCGGAGAGTGTCCGCATCGCACCTCTCGGACAGGGCCACCGTGAGGGCCCCAGAGAGCACCTGCGTGGAAGCGGGAGGATCAGAGGTGAGCTCAGCTGGCACCTGCGGCCCCCAGCACAGCGCTTCCTCAGTGAGGGACCCCGACCCCGAAAGCACGTTTTCCCAATGGGCTGAGGGTTTACCCATAAAAACACATGGAATCCAAGCCTCTGTGCGGTTCCTAACATTCCTAGTGGAAACGTTTCTAAAAATGTGCACATAATTCTCCAATTTTGAGGGGATCTGCCCTTTCTGAGGACGTGGGAGCAGGACCACAGGACCCTCCACCCTCGACCCCGTGGGCCCCACACACAGCCTCTGACTCTTCCCCCTGACATGAGGTCTCAACCTTCACTTTTCAGCTGTCAGTGTGAAACTATTCTCTTCCACAACAGAAATGAAGACCAGTTCTCCACGCCTGTTACCGTTTTCGAAAAGAAAAAGTGCGCCCACTCAGAGGGGGGATGGGGACATCCAGTACGACCGTTATGTGCCACAGGGAAGGGATCTGGGGCACATCTCCATTTGTGGGTGGCTTTCAGCTAATGACCTTCAAAATGGACAAGGCATAAAGCAAAATTTCACAACTGCACCTCCAATGTCTGTCTACACTGTGATGCATAACACTGGTGTGAACCGTCCAGACCAAGCAAGACCCTTTGTGAACCGAAGCTACTGTTTTTATTAGGAGCCTCCCGAGCACACAGGACTCACCAGATGCCTTCCTATAACACCAAAGAGGGTGCAGGAAAGCCATTAAGAAATAGAAGACAGTATTAATCAGGTCTATCGGTCAAAGCCAATAAGCTGCGCATTTATGGATATTTTAAGGAACTGGCTGGAGTGATTGTGCAGGTGCAAGTCCAAAATCCTTTGGGCCAGCAGGCTGGAGACCCAGGGAGGAGCTGCAGTTGGGAGTCTGAAGGCAGAACTCCCTCCCTGCTTGGGGACCTAAAGTCTTTTCGCTTATAGCCTTCAACTGATTGGACGAGGCCCACCGGCATCGTGGTCTTTATGCAACCATCTACTGATATAAATGTTAATCTCCTCCAAAATTACCTTCATGGCAACAGTGAGACTGGTGTTTGACCAAACACCTGGGTGTCACAGCTAACCAACCTGACATACAAAACCAACCATCACAAATGGCTAGGACACTCTCTTGTGCTAATATACCTTTTGAATCTTTGTGAGAGATATATTTAGAGTTTTCACACCTAATTAACCAAGAAACCTTTTCCATATGGGACGTGTCGGGTGCAGACACAACTTGGGAAAGATTTTCTTAATGCCACTGTTTTCAAATGTGTTCCCCCGGGGGTGGAATGCAGTTGCCTTGGAGCGGGGCCGGGTACACGCCCGGGGCGGTGGGGGGATGAGCTTGATGGGTGGAGTCCAAACATCCAACATTTGCTTTGACTGGGGCAGCCTGTCTTTGGTCGGTTCCATGGAGCGGGCTTCTCTATGAAATTTTCCTTGAAACAGGATCCACTCAAGCCCACAACTCCAGAGGCTCATCCCTGCCTTTGCGTGAGCACCAACCAGAACTGGCCAATGACAGCTCATCTGCATTTGCCCCACAGCCTGGTCTCAGCTGCCATCTAGAGCATCACCCGGTGGCCCCCAGGGAGGGTCACGGTCAATACCTCTCCTAAAACTTGTCCCAGCGCAAAAACATGTCTTAAAAACTTGTGTACACCTATTTAAACCAAAAGCGAGGGTCCCGCCCCATCATATGGAAACTGAGGGCACACCGTGTGAGCAAGTCATATCTGAGCATATCTGCCTCCACTCCTCTGTCGTCTTCCAAACCTTATTCTTCATCCTTCCTGAATTTCACTACATCCATTTTTCCAGCATGGAAGCCACCTGAAGCAGGTGGAAACGGGTAGGGAGGAAAGAAACAGAAATAACACTCTGTTTTGTCAGGTTGGAGATGCCATGAGTGAGTCTGCATCCAAGCGAACCACGCTTCTGTGACCTGTGGCTTCACTTAGGCTGATACGGCCACCAATCAGAAACAGGGAGACCAAGGTGTTGACACTTGGCTCACACATCTGTGTTTGGAGTCCAGGAGGGCAGCTCCCTGCAGTGAGAACCTGGTGTGCCTCGGGGATGGGCCCTGCTCTGTGCAGCTGACAGTTTGCAACGCAGAGGTGCAAGGAAGCATGGAAATGGATGGCCACTCTCTGCCTAATTATGACCAGGTGGGAAACATGGCCAGTGATGCAGAAGGACTGGAAACAGGGAAAACAAGTCAGCCGTGTCTCAGTGGTGTCGAGAGAGTCAGCAAGATGAGAGCAGAGGGGAAGCACTCCACCCAGCATCAGCAGAGAGGAGCCGTGGGGCTCTCCGCCCCCCATGTCCCATTGGGCTCTCAGATCTGCTCCCACCATGATGAGCTCCAAGCACAGACAAGCACCAGCATCAGGGGCAGGAGGGAACTATGAGGACCTGTCGGGAAGGACAGCAGACCAGAAGGAAGGGCTCCAGAGGAAGGCCGAGGGCACCTGGGTGCTGACCGTGGCTCTCCCTGTGTCTACAAGGCCCCCTCTGCCTGCACCGAGCTGCAGGCTGACCCCTGGGACAACAGTCACAGCCCTTCTTGTCCACTGAGGCAGATCCCGGCTTCGCAGCAGTTCGGGACTGGGGGTGGGGGTGGGGGGGGACACAGCTCCCACCTGGCTCTCTGTCTCCACTTCCAGAACATTTTCTCCTCTCCAGGCTCCAGACAAGATAACGGGGCTACTATCTACAGTTTTTAGGATGTCATGGAGGGGGCATCTGGGTGGCTCAGTCGTTAAGCATCTGCCTTCGGCTCAGGTCATGATCCCAGGGTCCCAAGATAGAGCCCCGCATTGGGCTCTCTGCTCAGCAGGGAGTCTGCTTCTCCCTCTCCTGCTCCCCCTGCTTGTGTTCCTTCTCTCTCTGTGTCTCTCTCTGTCAAATAAATAAATAAAATCTTAAAAAAAAGAAAGAAAGAAAGAAAAAAGAAAGTCATGGATGAAATGAAATCTACCTTAGTTTTCTTTCTTTTATTTTTGAGAGAGAGAGAGTGGGAGTATGGGACAGCACAGAGCCTGACACGGGGCTTGACCTCATGACCCTGAGACCATTACTTGAGCCAAAATCAAGAGTCAGATGCACACCCGACTGAGCCACCCGGGTGTCCCAACCTCAGCTTTATTTCTTAAAGTGGATCTGAGGAATTGGCAGCACACAGCAGGGTAGGCGCCTGGACCAATCCTGACTGTGGGTCATGCACGAGCTCTTGGAGAGAGTGGCAATGGCCACAAATCACGTTGGGGGAGCCACCGTCAACGAGCCACGTTGATACCAAAGTCTCTCCTTCAGACAGCACACTAGGACGTCCAAAGGCTAGGACGTTGCCAGGACCCAGGTTACATGCAGTGGCTGATTTAAGAGACAAACTTACAAGCAGGTGCTCCTGCACCTGCCCAGACCACAGCCAACCCTCTGCACTTGACTGTGCAGATTCCTGACTTGAACGAACACACACACGGTGTGCTCCCCTCCTTGGGGACGAGCAAGGCTGAGAGAGATGCGTGACATTTTGCCAAGTCGAGCCAGGATGAAAGATTCGCGGAAGTGAGGAATAATTGACTGCAACTAGCAAGAGGTACTTGGGCAGAGATCAGCGCAAATCCTATAAAACAGGTTCAAAGCTATTTGCATCGGTGCGAGCAGGGAGAGATGCAGCCCCTTGGGAGCAGTGAGGGACGGTTCTGCTTTCAGAGGTGGCAGAGAGGCAGAGAGATCTGGATTAAAAGGACCACACATCCAGGATGAAGCCCAGAGATGGGGTCCCTTGCGGGAACTGGGGGAAACTTAGCTTCCAGGATCACATGCCCCACAGAGCTGGCCGTGTCTTCCAGGGGATGCCTGACCAGAATCCTCCATGTGGGCCAGAGACCGTCAACACCACTCATACAGTAATTATTGTCCTTCTCTCTGGGGTGGAGCTGGGGCCTGCAGCGGGTGGTTGCTGGAAAAAGCCGATTTTACCTGCTGTCTACCCCGGAGGGAGCCACACCAAGAACAATGTTTTGCAGCTTTTCAGGAGACAAACTCCATGTGCTGCAACAAATGGGATGTGAGCTGTTGGGTAAATCCCCATCTGGAATCTCTCTGCTCCCAAACCACACTGGCCAGCTGCTCATGACGCCCACAGAACCAGCCTCAAACGAGAGGTGCACACCTCTCTGCCCAAGCCAAATAAGAGAAAGTCTCAGAACACCTTCCCAGTGAGGGCTGTCTGGGGGCCCCCTCCCCCCCTTCATCCACAAGAACCCCCATAGGAGGAACGATCCCGCTCAGGACCATGGACAGCGCCCGTCTTCCCAGACGGTGCCGATACACTCCATTGTTTGAAAAAAATAATATGATAGGAGACAGACTCCCAGTCTTCCTGGGTCCTGACTCAGACCTTGTTGCAATTTTAAAGAATCAAAATGTGGCCAAATACAAAGAAGGAAGTGACCGCTGATCTAAGGCCCAAGACAAGGCATCGCAGCATGAAATGCCTGCTCTCATCATAGGGCAGGTGGAGGGGTCGCCCAGGACACAGGCGGGCGAGGTGGACGCCACATGCCCGGGTCTGTGATTCTGGTTTCATGGTGAAGAATGCAGCACCGCCGGGGAGGGAACTTCCCGAGGCGCCCAGAGCCAGGACCGAGGCCTGAGATCAGTGGCAGTGCCTCCAGCCTCCCTGCCTCCCTGCCTCCAGCCCTGTGCCCTGGGTGTCCAAGCCTGGGCCTCCTCCATGTGGCTCTTCACAGCCCGTGGCTTCTGGTCATGGCTGCCTGAGCCCCTGCGTGACCCGTCTCCACCGCTGACGTGTCACCTGCACATGGGGTCTTCCCCATACAGCACATTTATGTCTTTGTGTGCCACTGCCATAGAAGGTCCTGGAACATTTGCTCCCTTAGCACTTGAGGAAGAACCCCTCGTGGAAAGGGAGCTTTTCCATGAATGAACGAACGAATGCGGGTTCTGGCAGTCTGCCCATGTGACAGATTCGCAAACTGACGGAAAGTAGGATAGACAAGCCCAGAGAGGAAGCCGTCGAGCTTACCACCAAAAACACGGTGCTGCCGTCAGCCTGGCGGTCCAGGAAAAAACAGACCCCACAGCGCAGTCCCCTCCCCGAACACGAATTCCTTCCCTAGGACCTTGTAGACATAGGTGGGTCCATGGATACGTTTCGAGAGCAAAGCAGATAGCTTCGTTATCTCACTGAAGGGCAGAAATGCAGGCTTGCAAGAGCCACGGAACCTCCCAATTACCCACTGGCCCAGCTCTTCAAGGGACCACAGTGAGAGACGCGGGAATGCAAAGCAGCCGGGGCCAGCGAGCCCGGCCCCTCCCAAGATAGAGCGCCAGTGACACCTGCTGGCCGCCTGCCGCCTCGGGCGGCCGCCATCCCCAGAGCGGAGCCCACCTTCCCTCCTCTGTATTTAGGAGTAAGTTCCTCTCTTTTCTGGGGTCTCCTCTTGTTTGTTCATTTGCCAAGGGGGAGATGGGTGGAGAGACGGGCAAACCGCATGACAGGGATTAAGATCACAGTACAAACGTCCAGTTACAAGAGGAATAACTCGGGGATGAAAAGTACAGCCTAGAGGATACAATCAATGACACCGTGACAGACGTGTTGGGACGAGTGTCTCGTAATGCTGAACTGCCGTGCTCGACACGCAGAACTTCATATTACAGGTCAGCTACGCTGCAATTAAAAAATATTTAATCGTTAAGCCTAAGCCCAAGTCCTATAAGCTTGGCAAGGGACCCCAGGAGGGACTCCTCGCCCCCACTAGAAGTTCCAGTAACTGAAGATTTCAAACCAAATCTAATCACTGCTTAGGTACAAGGACGTGTTCTCTGCACCCACCTTATCGCCAATCCCCCAACCCCTAATCTGTATGTGGTGCTCAGTAACCACCGGCAGGATTTTCCCTTGAAGACAGACACTGTGTGACTCACCATAAATAACTTGGTGATACTATAATCTGAAGTCGGGGTTCCCGGCTTCTTACTGATGTCTTTCTTGATGCAGTTAATGCTGAACACTATGTGCTCCTCTGGGATCCTGTGGTTCGGTCCCAGACCGCTCCAATACAGCGAGTATCACGATAATGAGAATCAAATGAATTTTTTGGTTTCCCGGTACACGTAAAACATAGGTTTGCTCTGTGCTGTAGTCTACTAAGTGTGCAATAGCACGGTGTCTTTTAAAAGTACATTTCTGGGTTAAAAAAATGCTTTATTGCTCAAAACCGCTAACTGCCGTCTGATCTTTCGGCGAATCCCAATCACGGCTCCCAGGTCTTGGTAACAAACACGATAATGATGAAAAAGGTTGAAACATCACAAGAATGACCAAAATGCGACAGAAACGTGATGTGAGCAGATGCTGCTGAAACTCTGGCACAGATAGACTTGCTCGATGCTGGGGTGCCAGAAACCTAAAATCTGTGAGGGTCTGCCACGCGCACTAAAGTGAGGTATGCCCATAACTGATCTGCCTGCCAGAGCTTGCCGGGGCCCTGGTTAACCAAAATCAACAGGAAATTAAGTGTCTACTGGGGCCCCGCAGATTGTCAGTAAAAAACATCCACTTGGGAGCCATCTTCACGGTTACTGCTTCCGGAAGGTTCTCAGTGGAGAGAGTAGATGCCAACTAGAAGTGCTTGGAAAGCTATCTCACCAACAGCCAAGGATCCGGTGATACCAGCTGCGGGGGGCAAGGATTCACTCTCCCCACCTCTGTGCACAAACCGCACCCACCACCAGCCAGCACATGTGCCTCCCCTCCCCCTCTCCGTGCGCTGACCCTGTGTCCTGGCCATCGTGAACAGGACAAAGCTCATCGCCCACCTGCTTGTGTGATAAGCCACCCCCTCTGCACACAGACGGCACACGGGTATTCTTGACTTAAAGACAAGCACGGCTGACATTTAGAGCTTTCTATGTGTTTCTGTTTTCACATATTTTTGAGAATTCTGCAACCCCTACCTAAACAAGCAGGACCCTCCGGGGGATGTCGTGCATCAAGGTTATAAATAACGGGAATAAATATCATCGCCAATTTTACCCTTTCTAACCCTAATAAGACAATGTTATGAAATTAAAGATCCCAAGTTTCTGATGCAAGAGAGACACCCTCTCACTCCTGGCTTGCCCTCCCGTGTCCTCCCTGCCTGTGGCTAGCCCCTCGGCACAGGATGGGAGAGGAGGGGACAAGAGACCACAGCGCCAGGCTGGCCCCGGGACGGCAGGGGACTGGCGGGGGGGGGGACAGAGGTGCATCGACTCCGCACCTGTGAACGGGAGATGCTGGCTTCTAGAAGGCTGTGGATAGTCTCTTTGGAGATGTGGATGGAAGACTGAAGCTCGTGGGTTAGCTTGGAGATGTTCTGCACCAAATCTTTGACTTTTACATCTGAAAAATCATCAAAAGGAAATCCTGTAATCATAAACGTCTGGCTAATATTGACTGTGAAAACACAAATCCATGCTAAACCCTGGCAAGGATCGTCTGGTCCAAAGTACACACTGGAGGACATCATGTCCCCTATCCTAGAGGAGCTGAGGTCATTCATACTGAAATAAAACAGACCCAGGGTGTGTGGTCTTTCCTGCTCTCCTGACCACTCTAAGATTTGTGTATTTTAGGATTTACTCTACAAAGACCTTTTTCATAGGGAAGTAACCGGCTCCTGGAAAGACTCATTCTATGTGTTTCCTTAGCCTACTTTTTTTTTTTTTTTAACCAGGAGGAGGATCACATAAGGAGCTTCCAGAACTCTTCTCAAGTGGCATGTTGGTGCTATGAGTTGTACAGATAGAGCAGACGGAAAGCAGAGACATACGGACACCGCATGGCTTGTCCAGGGATGCAGGGACAGGATGACACAAAAGCTTCTCCTCCACCCCGGTTCTGGTTTTGGGACACAGGATTCCAGAACTTTCCTTCTTAACCCCAAATACATGAGAGCAGCCAAGTTCTGAATACTTTGTCACATACAGTGCAACCTTCCCTTTGTACATTCTACTTTAGTAACATATTTGTGGGAGAAAGCACACTTCCTTCGTAACTGAGCCGAGCTGGAGGAAACACATCTTACCCTCCGTCACTGTGAAATTGCTGAGAAGAGTCAGCATGGGATTCCCGGACAACCAGGTCTTCTCGAGGCTTTGGGCCAACCTAAAACGGCAGAAGATCAAAGTGAACGTAGGAAAGATAAACACCAGAAACAAGGTTGGAGTGAACAATCCGGCCTCCGTTCCCAGGAGATGAGCCAGATAACATCACATTTCCAGGACGTTCTTCAGACAGACACACCACATCTCCTGACGCCCTCCACACAGGGATGCCCGTGACTGTCACGATCCCAGCGCGGTGTCCTTGGGGCCCCGGCCAGGCCAGATGAGTTGGGAGGATGAAGAAGCGTAAGTGGCTTCTCATAAATGTGGAGAGAATAGAGAGACTAGATCAGGGAATGCGTGAGAAGTTGGGATATTAAGGAGTCGACGACCCTTCTTTCTGTGCCTAAGTCTTTTTGCAGAATACAGTGTGTGATCTCCTCTTCCACTGGTTTGCACATGGAGGACACAGGACACAATTAACCCAATAAGAAGGGAATCTGAAGAATCTTTGCCCGCTCTGACAAAACACACTGAACACCGTATTATAGCGTCAGATCTTGGATCTCACATCTTGCTCATCAGTAAAGCGAGCCTGCCCGTGAATGCCCCCATATATTTCACCACTGAAATCTTCCAGCCGTGGAAAACCCTGCTGCTGTCTGGACACTGTATGTGGCACCCATCATGGTCCAAGATGGACAAACTGAGATTTAGAAACTCAAGACAACTTCCTTATGAAGGAAAACACGGGGGCGGGCAGGGGCCCCGGGACATAAACGTACGTGCGCACACGCTGCAGAGCCAAGTCCAGCAGCGGCCGGCATTCACAGTCCCGGTCGGTGGCGCGCTCCAGGCTGCTCCTGAGGCTTTCCAAGGAGCTAGAAAGATTCCTGCTGAGACCTTCACAATTGAGCTGAGGGGGTGAGGACCACATCTTCTGCATTTCCTAGAAAACAGCAAAGATCCAGTTAGAAACACACACACTTGTTCATGGAGGCTCGTGCCTGGTTTCTGGGTAAATGTGTGCCCCCAAGCCCACCCCGAGGACTCCATACGATGCAAGCATTCTGCTCGCCTCCTCCGCCTGGGCAAACATAGTGTTGGAGACTGAGGACATCCCAGCAGGTCTAATAGTGCCTGCCCCTTGCAGAGCAGCAGAAGGAGCCCTTGGCTGGGCGCCGGGAGATCCCGCCTCTTAGTTCTGGCTCGGCCTCGCACGGTCCAGGTGGGATGGCGTGCTCTCCAAGGCCTGCCAGAGAAGGAGCACCGTCCAGCTGGCGACCAGAGTTCATTCATTCCTGGTTTGAAAACTGAACCTTTGCAGCATTCCCAGCCACAGAGCTCACTCCTGAGAAATCGTATGTGGCTGTCCATAGAAACCGTGGGGAAGACCTGGGTCTCCCCTGCCCTGAAGGTCCCTGCCACCCCTTGGTGAGGAGCACAGTGAGACCTCTGGTCTAGGCCCAATTCTAAGGGTCCTTGGCTACCTTAGCATCCTCTTTTCTTTTTTGAGATTTTACTTATCTATTTGAGAAAGAGAGAGCAAAAGCAGGGGGGAGGGGCAGAGAGAGAAGGAGAAGCAGGCTCCCCGCTGAGCAGAAAGCCCAATGCGGGACTCCCTCCCAGGACTCTGAGATCATGACCTGAGCTGAAGGCAGATGCTTAACCCACTGAGCCCCTCACCAGGCGCCCCTGTCTTAGCATCTTCTTTGAAGCATGATCCAGCCTTATGAAATACCAATCATTTCTCTCTCTCTCTCTCTCTCACACACACACACACAAAATAGAGTAATACCTATATAAAATACCTATAAAATGAAAACATTCATCGTATGTAAAATCGAGTGATGAACAGTAACATAAAATTGAAAAGAGCTGGAAAAGCAGCCCACATGTCGGCGTGCGCACAGACACGCGTCCCAGTGCCTTCCCTGGACACAGGAATTCTGCTGCACAGAACTGAGCCACATCGCCAGAATTTTGTTACGTCATCTTATTTTATTGACATCCCCCGACTCTTCCTGAGGGCGGAAGCGCGGCCCCAGCTTCTGCCAATGAAGGCGAGAAAGGAATCAAATGTAAGTCTACCCTTACGTAGTATTTCTGCTCAACACAACGCGTAAAAATTTCCCTCAAAACCACGATCAGTTTCTCTTACAAACGAAACCATGAATCATTTTGCTGGTCAGAGAGACCTAAGACATCGATTTCCCAAGGAAAGTGAACCGTGGAAGATACGGTACCTGAGCCTGGAGTCGCCGGACACAGCCGAGCAGAACCGGCCTGAGGACCCAGGAGTTGCCAGGGTAACAGGGGAGCCCTCACGGGGAGCAGTGACATGGAACCAGGGCACCCAGACTCACACCACCAGCAGCACCTCGGAACCGTGTCACGGGGGAGCCCACACAGCCAGCAGACCACCACACACTGGGTACCCACTAACTTGCCCAGGATTATGGGTCCCTGTCCAAGTTCACATTTTCCCAATCATTGGTGGGGGGGGGTGAAGCTTGAACAGAAATCCTACAGAGCTGTCCATCCAATCATCCATTCATTCATTCATCACCCGCCTCCCAGAGGCTTGCATCCCAGGGAGGACGCCTGCCAACAGACAGCCATTGGACAAGGCGGGGGGACATCCAGTCCCGTGTCAATATTCCCCCTCTGCGGAGGCCCCTTTGCCTAGCACACAGGTGCACAGATTCTCCTGGGTCAGAATGAGGGGTACAACTCCCTTCTGAGAACAGAGGATGAATGAAGCCCACTGCCCCTGGGCTCTGCCCCAAAATGCCTTCCTTCCTAGAAAAGAGCCTTTAGTTCAGAATTCAGTAATTTTATGCCAGTTTTATGTAATTCTACTCATTTGTAATATTCCCACTATGGATTATTCTTAATTTTAGCAACACAATGATTTTGAAATATGTGGGGTTGTGGAGAAGGACAGTGGACGTCCTGTCCCAGCAGCAAGGACACTGGAAGGTGAGTTCTGGCTTCCTTCGTCACAGATGCACTGGGCTCCGTGCAAGGAGTGTTGGGCGCAAAGACCTAGGCTGGTATCCACAAGGCTGGACTTTGGGGACAGGATCAGGCCACCAAGTGCACAAGTCAGGGTCTGACCACCGGAGGTCTATAGGAACCGGTCAGGGAGGTGCACCCAGCGTGCTTTGCAGAGGCAATGCAGTCCACAGGTGGGTCCAAAGGGCTAGACTTGGGGAGAGGTTTGGAAACCCAACCTGGGTTCCAGCCACATGCTCCACGTCTCGACTCACTGGGCACGCGCATCTTAATTTAACGTAATTTTTTTCTGATCTCTGTTTAGTTCCCTGCCGCTGTCTTCCACCACCGAGTGCCAGGGCGCTCCCTTCCGGTGCGATGTCTCGTTGGCACCAATGCAACCCTCTGTCAGAACATTCTGTCAGACGCCGGAAAACTAAAAATAGCTGTGCCTTTGGCTCACCCCTGCGGGGCACCGAGCACTTCACACCCCGGAGCCTGGGAGCATTTCTGTTTCTAAAAGCCTCGCACTCTGGAAAACCTTGAGCCGTCCTAGAGGCTTCGCACCCTGAGATCAGCCCAGTCCTATTTTTGTCATCAAAGACAGGAACTCCTGCTTGCTCTCCAGACGGACCTAACTGTTGGCAGCCCGAGCTGTTGACAGCCACTAGGAATTGGAAGCACAAAGGCAGCCTTCGAGGCAGCTTTGAAAGCGGGCGTGCTCGCCTTCCTGTATGACTGCAAACACCACTCGGCACTCAAGAGGCGTCTGTTGGGTTTTTTTATGGGTCTACATTTAATACAGGACAGAGATCTGCGCAACCCGGAGATAAGATTTGGATGGTCTCATAAATCAGTGTCCTTAGGGAAGAGTGCTGGGTCACGACTCTTCCCAAGTCCGATGCAGGGATCACCCGCTCACACTCTGCCTGCACCGTGTCCGGGGGCGTAGCCTGACCACCTCCCGCCTCCCTCTGCAGCACCCTTCACCTGGCCTGCTGTGACCATGCAGCCTTCCCCAGACACGTGTTCAGGTGGCATTGCTGGAACACAAAAGCCATTAACGACATCCAGGTCAGGCGCTTGTAGAAAGGAAGGTGCTCAGTCTGTCGCCAGACTGACGTCGCTGTCCTCCACCCTTCCCCAGCAGGTCAGGCCTGCTGGTGGGCCCCGTGGCCTTGGCTCCCAGGGGAAGGCCCCACATGGCTGCTCACTGGGCTCCCATCTAAGTCCATAAAAGGAAACCTTGAGGCTGGTCCCCATACAGCAAAGGGCTCTCGGTGCTCACCCGTGTGTGCTAAGTCAAAACCCACGGAGGGCTGGTCAGTGTTTAATAACTAGCTCTCTGGGGAGAAATATCTTATTTGTAGAATTTGCCAATTTCCATGGTATAAATGGTGTCACCGTGACCTCGCTTGAGTCACCAAGGCGACATCCGTGAACACAGAATTGGTTAGAGAGGCACGGCGGCGTGTAAGGTGTTCCCACTGCACAGGAGCAGGAGGTGGGAGCCAGCTCAAGGACACGGTCAGCAGCAAAACCCCCACAGGACACCCGGGCGGCTCAGTCGGCTGGACATCTGCCTTCGGTGGAGGTCATGGTCTCAGGGTCCTGGGATCGAGCCCCGCATCCGGCTCCCTGCTCAGCGGGGAGCCTGCTTCTCCCTCTCCCCCTGCTGCTTCCCCTGCTTGTACTTGCTCTCTCTCTCAAATAAATAAAATCTTTTTTTTTAAACCGCACTAAAATAATTAGATATTGACGAACCTTCATCTTGCACACAACTGACTCTCATAGATGTTCGTATCATTGGCTTATCAACGACGTTGAGGCTAAGAACCCGCTTGCTGGAGTCCTGAACACGGAACATGCCGGTGTCACTGCGCAGAAGCCAGGGGAGGAGGGCCGTGGGCTAACCTCTGGCGTGGCCAAGCCAACACAGCTGTGTGGTTACAGGGACACAGCCAGCACGCCGGGCGTGAGCAGACTGTCTCACGTGGCCAGGCACGAGGAAGGCGGTGGCAGAAGACAAACCTGGTAGTGGTCATGCATCAGGGCGGCCCCCTGGAGAGCAGGTATGATCAGCCGCTGCGGCCCACCCTGTTTGCAACTCAGAGCAGCACACAGCATGTCCTTGGCCAAGGAAGGGTTTTCTGTTGGAGGAAGCACACGGACACGTCATTGGTAAACGGTTTTCTCCCCGGTGAGGGGCTCTCCCCAAGTCATTTCTGAAAGACCCAAAAGGATGACAAATTCATGAACATTTCTTAAATCCTCAAAATCCACTTTCCGAATATGAAAGGGAAGCTGTGGTTTTGAGTTCCTGGCATCTGGTGTTTTTCTGGGAGTAACTGAATGTACAGAAATTAACACCCTTCACCTCCCAACGCTGGCGTGTCCTTTCGTAGCCCTTTGGGAAGGGACCTCGTTCACCGGGTCTGCCCAGGATGGCCCTGGCTTCCTCAATGGCCTGGGAGTAGCTGTGACCAGTGCCCTCTTTGAGTCCCCAAAGTGCCCCAGCTCGAGGGGAGCATTACTCACATGGTCAGTTTGAGGCCCTCCCCACAACTGTCCCCTACCTCACACCTCCCAGCCCACCTCTCCACCTGCTCCTAACACCTCCCACAGCTCTCCATTCCCTGCCCCAACCCCCAATTCATCTTCACCTCTGAGTCACAGGGCTCCTCCTAATGGGACATGGCTGGTTCTAATGACAAAGGAAATTCCCAACCTTTCCCACTGGTGAGCCCTGCTCCCAGGCTCCCAGGAAAGCTGTACATCAACGTTCACCAAGGTCCTAACGACTTCATGAAGGACTTCACCAGACCTCAAAGAGGGGGCTCTATTTCTGCCCTGGCACACATGGTACACCTGCTTCCTTAGCAAATGACCAAAAAGAAACATTTCAGACTAAAGATATGAGTAAAAATACCTCCAAATCTCACAACCTTGCACATACTAATAGCTGAGGTTGAGTTTGTAATTTTCCGGAACATCCTTCCTCATGATGCTTTGGAACTGATGTAATAAGAAACATACAACCCTGGGTTAGGAGTGAGTGGGATAGTCAGGTGATCAGGGCCAGGGTCCGCAACAAGGAAATAGGGAATCAGGACAGCTGAGATCAAACAGCACTAGCATCTGTTCTGCAGTGTACACAAGACCACACTGACATTCTGCTTTGCAGCCTTTGCAGAAATAAATTCTGCAAAACATCCTAAAATAAGACAACCACAAAAACATTGTCAGTATCACGGGCGAGGGGCAGTTAAGTCCTAGCCCGCAGATGTCAGCAGAAAAAGACCATCAGCACGTGGGCATGAACCTAATAGATAGACAGATACGTGACCAAAGCCCGGGTTGGCACGACTCAGCACACCCTGATTGCTTAAGAAAGTTCCCCAAAAGAGCTCATAAAAGTCCCTAAACTTAGAAACTCCAGGGGCAACCCTCTCAGAACCCCCTCCCTCTCCAGGAGCTCTATGCTCTTGCTCAGTAAACTGTTCTTTGCTTCCCATCACTCTTGCTCTGGTCTACCTCTTCCTTCTTCGAAGCAGAGCAACCAAGAGCCACGGGCACTGAGATGACGCAAATCCTTTAACACCTACACCACAAGTTCCTTCCTGGGAGCTCCCTCTTCCTTGGGCAGACTGTGTATCTGGGCAGCCCAAGGTTCGAATAAAACTGTCTTCCTTTTTGCACAATTTCTAAAAGATTTGTTCATTTTGTGTTGAAAATAGGAATCTGCTCAAAGGATGGGGCGGTATCCACAGCCTTGTGCAGCCACCAGTCACACCCCACCCCTGCTCATTCCCGGGACTCCTCCCCACTCCCCAAAGCCACCTGCACCTCCTGCCCTGCCCAGAGAGCCTCTCCTGACCCTGTCTTTCAGAGCTCTGCCTCAGGGCACCTGCCTCCTGCCAGCGCTGAGCCCACCCTACCACACTCATAGCAGGTAAATGCATGCTGCCCCCACCCATCCAGGGCCTCTGCTCGAGTCTTATCCCAGGTCACCGCCTGCTCCTAGCGCACACCTCTGCTCCTAGCAGATGCCTGGTAAACATTGCGGTCTTGCTGTATACAAAATGAAATGTATTGCCAGGAGTAGCAAAAACTTTAAAATAATTTTTTTCTCAGTTTGGCAAAAAAAAAAAAACAAAAAAAACAAAAACAAAAAAAAAACAGTTCTTCTTCTTAACATTATTACATTGTTTCTCCAAAGTAATTTTTTAAAAACTGTTTTGAACTCTTGAAGACACTTGAAAAACACTATTTTGAGCCACATGAGTCTACCACATGCATGGATTTTTTAAGGACAGCCTGCAAATGCAGTTTCTCTTCCTGGCAATTTTCTTAGTAGCACTTTCTTCTCTCTAGCTTACTTTACTGTAAGAATAGAGTGTATGGTGGTGGTGTGGGGTCTGGCTGGTTCATTCAGTGGATCTGGGTCTCTTGATCTCAGGGTCGAGTTCAAGCCCCACATTGGATATAGAGATTATGTAAATAAACTTTAAAAAGAATAGAGTGTACAATACATAGAACATACAAAACATGTGTTAACTGACTGTCTATATCATGGATACGGTCAACAGCAGGCTGTTAGTAGTTAAGTTTTGGCACATCAGAAATTATACGAGAATTTCTGACTGCACGAGGGGGTGACGGCCCCAAAGTCCTGCGGGGCACAGGGGTCAACTGCACACAGAATGCCGACTGCACAGGATACACCCAAAGTCATGCTTTTCAGAAGCAACCCTCCTCATTGGTTTAGTTTCTCACCAATGTCACTATTGCTCTGCCTTTGAAAACAGATCTCTTTACAGTAAAAAATGCAAAATGTGTCTCTTAAGCAATCTCCTATGAAAACACAAACAAAAGGTGCAACGGGGAGGAGGAGTCAAGATGGCGGAGAAGTAGCAGGCTGAGACTACTTCAGGTAGCGGGAGATCAGCTAGATAGCTTATCTAAAGATTGCAAACACCTACAAATCCAACGGGAGATCAAAGAGAAGAAGAACAGCAACTCTAGAAACAGAAAATCAACCACTTTCTGAAAGGTAGGACTGGCGGAGAAGTGAATCCAAAGCGACGGGAAGATAGACCGCGGGGGGAGGGGCCGGCTCCCGGCAAGCGGCGGAGCAACGGAGCACAAAATCGGGACTTTTAAAAGTCTGTTCCGCTGAGGGACATCACTCCAGAGGCTTAACCGGGGTGAAGCCCACGCAGGGTCAGCGTGGCCTCAGGTCCCGCAGGGTCACAGAAGGATCGGGGGTGTCTGAGTGTCGCAGAGCTTGCAGGTATTAGAACGGGGAAGCCGGCTACAGAGACAGAGCCGAGGAGTGAGCTCTAAGCTCGGGGTTACCTTGAACCGGTCGCAGGCTCGGTCAGCTCGGAGCGCGGCCGGAGGCAGGGTGACGGGAGTAAATCGGCGCTGTTCTCTGAGGGCGCACTGAGGAGTGGGGCCCCGGGCTCTCGGCTCCTCCGGGCCGGA